GGGAGGAAGAGACAGGAGTGTCTAAGCATTTGTGTAGGCGTCAGAGGACAACGTTCAGGAGTCTGTTCTTCTACCTACCTTGTTGAGGCAGTGTCTCTCATTTCTGCTGCTGTACTGTGTGTGTACACCAGGCTAGCTGGCCCTCAAGCTTCTGACCCATTCCTCTGTCACAGCCTCCCAGCTCACAGTAAGAGTGCTGGGCTCTCACGTACACATCACAGTATCCAGCTTTTTATGTAGGTTCTAGGGCTCAAACTTGGGTCATCAGGCTTACACAGCCAGCACTTTTAGCCCCTGAGCTATGTCTCTAGCCGCTTCTGGGAATTCGGACTTCTGCTCACTTCTATGAATGGCATCAGTCTCTATTTAATGACAGTCCTTAGGAACTGTCTGGCACAAGCGTGTATATATATAATACATTGCCCAGAGAAACCAAAGTCAGAGTAAGGACTGCTAGGAAGACTTAGCCCTCCATCTACATTTGACCGCACCTCCACAGCCCTGACCACTGAGGCCATTCACCATAAACAGTACTGGAAGAGAACTGTCCTGCCTTGTGCACTCCCCCACAGATGTGATCCAGAGCTTGCTTGATCCTCCTCTTCCAGGTAACTGTAGCTCAAGGCTCTCACCGGCATACATCCTCAGAAACAGCTCTCACTGAAAGTGTCCATTGTTCTACTCCATCACCAAAGGCTAAGAGAAACCCTATGTCACCATCATCCCCAACAGTTGATCACAACCCTACATTCCATGTCCATTGCCTAACCTTCAACCTCCAGCCCCTTAGGTCAGTTTAGATACGGTCACTACCAGGTCTCTTCCTCTCCAATCTGGCCAGCTTCCATACCATCCTCCACATTGATGCTCTGGGAGTCTTTCTGAGGCCACCATCCCACCATCCCTCTGCTCAGACCTTTGCATCGCTCCTCATAAGACTCTGTAAACATAACTTAGAAGGGCTTCTCTCATGCAACACATTCCAAGGCCTCCCTTGCCTCATCCACGGAACACTGTAAGAACCAGACTTGGTAAACATTTGCATTCTTTAAATGTGACCTACTTCTCCTTGCTGTCAAGTCTATATATTCCTGTTCCCTCTTTCTGAACGAGTCTCTGGCCTTCCCTACTTTTGTCCAACTACTGCCTGTTTGTCTTTAGGTCTAAATGTATGTCATTCAAAGAAGGCCTCCCTGGCTTCTCAGGTTTGGAGTACCCCTAACATGTACTCACTACTAAGTTGCTTTTCTTTCCTTTCATTTTTTTTTTTTTAACGAGACAGGGTTTCTCTGTATTGTTTCAGAGGCTATCGGTCCAGCCCGGCCTTGAACTCACAGAGATCCGCCTGCCTCTGCCTCCCGAGTGCTGGGATTAAAGGCGTGCGCCACCACCGCCCGGCTCTTTCCTTTCATTTTATTTCATGTGTGTTTCTCTGCATGTGTGTCTGTACACTATAGATGTACCTGGGTCCTGTGGAGGCCAGAAACTGTATGGCTGTAAGCAGCCACATGGGTCCCAGGAATCAAGCCTGGTTCCTCTGGAACAGTAACCAGTGCTTTTAACTGCTGAGCCCTCTCTCTAGACCCACAAGTTTGCCTTTTTACATGGCGTGTAAATTTTGTGTGATTCTGTCACCGTGAGACAAGAGGCCTATTAAGGACAGAGATGATGACATTATGGGCCACATTGAATCACACACACACACACACACACACACACACACACACACACACATACACGCACACACTCTCCACAATTCCATGCAATCACAATTAGCTTGACATTATAAAGTAGTCATTTGGAGCATTAAATTATCCCCTATAGAAGTTTTTTGTTTTTGCTTTTTTTTTCTTCTAACTTTCAAAGATAAAAGATGAGGACTAGGCAGAGGTGCCACATGCCTTTAAGCATTTGCAAGGCAGAGGCAGGTGGATGGATTTCCGTGAGTTTGAGGCCGGTCTAGCCTACAGAGTGAGTTCCAGGACAGGCAGAGCTACACAAAGTAACCATGTCTCGAAAAACAATCACTCAATAGAAGAAGTATGTATGTGGCTAAGATGGTCAAATCCTTTATAATTGTCTGCTGAACTTTTTGATAAATATTTAAAGCCTATTTTGAGGTCTTCTTAAATGGAAGCCATGGTTTTCCTGGGAGTCTTAGTGTGGGCTGAGGTGATGTTAGAAACAGTGGATAGTAACAAAAGATGGAGAAATAGCTGAGTCAGCAAAGTGTCTGCCACACAAGCATGAGGGACCTGAGTTTGGTTCCCCCAGCGCACGGGTAAGAGCTGAGTTCTGCCCTAGATAGCTGTATTCTCAAGGCTGGTGGGGATGGGACAGAGACAAGGATCTCTGGGGCTCTGTGGTCAGCCAGCAACAAGAGGCCTTGTCTCAAAAAGAATAAGAACCAGGTATGGTGCACACCTTCAATCCCAGCATTCAGGAGACAGAGGCAGGAGGATCAATGTGAGTTAGAGGCCAGCCTGGTCTACAGATTAAGTTCTAGACCACCCAGAGAGGGCCTGTTTGTTTTTTTGTTTGTTTGTTTGTTTGTTTTAAAGAAGAAGAGAATGTTAACACAGTAATGAACTATGTAAGACCGAACTGATTTTCTCCTTTCTTGGCTTTAAACCTGCAATTTTTCTAGGACACTCACAAGAAACCCCATTTGCAGTACAAGCAACGTTTGAATCCTGTGTGCAACCTCCAAGGTACTTACTTCCAGAGCTGCCCTAAAATCTCTGTTCTATGGCAAAAAAAGAGAAAGGTTCCTTTGGCTCAGTGTGAGGGTAGTCTGTCATGGTGAAGAAAGCATGGCAGCGAGCCTGAGGAAGGAGGCAGACAGCATCTCTGGTCTTCAGCTCCTGGTCTTCTTTTATGTCCCCAGGACCACAGCCTATAGGAGGGTACCACCCACAGTTAATATGGATGTCTTACCCTGTAAACCAGACCTAGAATTTCCCTCATAGACATGCCCAGAGGTTGGAGTTCTCGATGATTCTAGATCCTGGCAAGCTGGCAAATCAGCATGTGTGATGGTTAATACGCTTAATCTTCATTGCCGAATCGCTTAGACTCACTGGGCGTGGTGGCACAGTCTGTGATCCCTGCATTAGGGAGGTAGAAGCAGGAGGATAAAATCCTTAGCTATACAGTGAGTTTGAGGCCAGCCTAGACTTCATAAGACTCGCCCCCCCACAAAAAAAAGATAGAAACCAGAACAGGGGACTGACAGATGTGTCTTGATCTGTGAGGGTGCTTCCAGAGAGGACTAACTGGAGTTGAGAATACTAACTAAGTGTGGGAATGTCATTTTGTGCACTGAGGCCTGGACAAAAGAAAGTAAAAAAGTAGGAAGTCAGATGAGAGACAGCAGTTTTCTTTAGTTGTTGTTTTTTTAACCTGTCATTCCATCCTAGCACTTAGAAAAGTAACTGACACACTCTAACACCCTCTGACCTGACACACTGAGAGTCTGGGTGTCCCCATGTGTGGATGGCTTCGGGTCACCTGCCCTGGCAATGCCTCTTCTCTCCCTCTTTGTTCCTCCTCTTCCTCTCCTTTTCCTTTTCTTCTTCCTCCTCCTATTTCTCCTCCTTTCTTATTCTTTAAGAAAGGGTCTCACTGGGTGGTGGTGGCAGCCCACGTCTGTAATCCCAGCACTCAGGCAGAGGCAGGTAGATCTCTGTGAGTTCAAGGCTACCAAGATCTACATAGTGAATTTCAGGACAGCCAGAGCTTGTTAGACAGAGAAACCTTGTCTCAGAAAAAAAAAAAAAAAAGGGTCTCAAGTAGCCTAGGCTGGCCACACCTGGTTTTGTACAGTGCTTGGATCAAACTCAAAGCATCACAAATGCTAAGCAAGTATTCTACCTATTGAACTACATCCTCTGGCTGTTTGTTTGGTTTTATGAAACAGAGTCCTTGAATCCATACCAGTCTTTCTGCCTCAACCTCCCAAGTGCTGGTAGTACAGACAAGAGCCATCAGGCCAAGCTTCTCACCTTTGAGTATGTTTGTCCCAGATACTAGGTCAACTTGGCTGTAACATATTAAGAAAATATAGCCCGGTAGTGGTGGCAAATGCCTTTAGTCCCAGCACTGAGCAGGCAGAGGCAGGAGGATCTCTATCTCTGTGAGTTCGAGGACAGCCTGGTCTACAGAGCGAGTTTCAGGACAGCCAGGGCTGTTACACAGAGAACCCTGTTTTGAAAACAAGCAAACAAACAACAACCACAAAAAGAAAAATATATAGGGAATATTCACCAGTTAGGCACCGTTTAAGTACTCCTATCCTGTACCAAGTACAATCCTTAGGAGACTGGCAGAGAGACTCTTTAATAAGCCCTTGCTGGCGCTGCCCATCTGTCTACCCTTATAACTGGTCCTCCTGATTCCTATTTCTCAACACAAATTACTAAGTTAAAAGGAGTACAGTGGCTGATGAGACAATTCGGAGGTTAAGAGCATGTACTGTTCGGTTTCAAGCACCCATTACCACCTGGAACTCCAGTTCCAGGAGATCCCACACCCTCCTCCGCCCCTACCTTGGCACTGCACACATGTGTACAAACCCCATACAGACACAAAGACCCCACCCCCATCCCCATGTCTACACATAACTAAAATAAACCTTTTTTTTTTAAGCAAAAAGGAATACAGCCCCTCTCCCTTGGCACCTGAGGTAAACGTCTGGCCGCTGATGGCTTCCTTGACAAAACGCTGTGTGGTGGGTTCTGTGTGCCTGTGGAAGGCCCTCTCACATCTCCACTTTCTTAGCTTCCGTGACATCTTCCTTTCCATGAGGCTATTCCTGCTCAGCCTTTCTTCTTGGCTCGTTTCCTGCATTCCTCTCTGAAATACAAATTTTGTTGCAGGTTCTATCTTTGGCTCTCTTCGTTCCTAAATCTGTACTTCTTAAAGGAATACATTTGCTCTTGGGGCTTCAGATTCCTTCAGATGACTCCCAAAATCTGAAGGTTTAGATTTGATCTCTGTTCTAATCCTATGCAGGTGAGGTGCCAAGTAACATATGTGTTCCCCCGCTACACAGCTCAGGAGGTCCGAAAGGGGGCCTCCTGCTCCACCACAACCTGTCATTCAAGGTCATTCACGCTGTTCCTCGCTTCATACTCGAGGAACAAGAGCACATTTCTTCTCGCAGCTTCCTTAGCACCCTAGCCCTGTACCTGTCTAAGTCAATGTCTGTTTTTGTTTGTAAGTTATTCAAGACAGGGCTTCTCTGTGTAGCCCTGGCTGTCCTGGAATTCGCTCTGTAGACCAGGCTGGCTCTGCCTCCCGAGTGCCTCCTGGTGGGACTAAAGACCATCATGTCCAGCACCCTCCCATTTTTTTTTTAACAGTGACTCCTTAACTATCATATAGTTTTCACCCAACTGCTCTTCATCAAATAGCCCTTAGGTAACCAGAGTTTATATGTTAAATGTGAGATGAGAAATTAGCTCAGTTAAACACCTTTAGCATAAGCCGGTTGTTGATGGCGCACGCCTTTAATCCCAGCACTTGGGAGGCAGAGGCAGGCAGATCTCTGTGAGTTCCAGACCAGCCGGGTCTACAAGAGCAAGTTCCAGGACAGCTTCCAAAGCCATAGAGAAACCCTGTCTTGAAAAACCAAAACAACAACAACACCTTTAGCATAGAGGAGGCTCCTGGGCCAAGCATTGCACAGCAAAGCCAAACAGAACAAGAAGCTGGGCATGATAATGCATATATGTTATCTAAGCACTCAAGAGCTAGAGGCATACCAGGGATGTCCCTCAGTGGGTAGAGTGTTTGTTTGGTTAGCCCACACAAAGCTCTGGGTCCAATCCCCAGCACCACATAAATGACCTATGCCTGTAAAGGAAAGAGGATCAGGAGTCCAAGGTAATCGTTGGTTACACAGTACTTTAAGGCCAGCAGGACTTCAGAAGACCCTGTCTCAACATACTTTGAACACACTTATACTAAAAAAAAAATCATCTATTGTTTATTCTAAATTCCAATTGAACTGGTTATCTTGGGGTTTTGTTGTTGTTTATTTTTGTTATCATGGAAACCCTAGAAATAGTCTGTGTTCCATTCCTTTGTCTCCCACTTAAAGGCAAATTCTGTGAGGGTACAGACGTGGTCTGTTAGATCCCTTGCTATAAACACCTGTCATCTAGTGCTGGGCATCATGAGGCTTGGCCGACGGTTGGCACCCACAAGGGTTGAGACTGAAGGTAGAGGCTATCCACACCAACCACACCACATCAGCAGTAACCATGCGATCCACGCCACGCTCCTTTCTAGCCTCCACTGTCTCCTCAGAAATTTCCCAATTGTCATGGGGATTCCAAGAACTCACAAGTATCCATTTCTGGGCTACTACCAGAACATGCTGAACGACTGAATCCAGGCAAAGGTCAGTCCCACCAGCACAAGTTGGAATAGAGGCAGAAAATTGCCATGAAAATGGTTTTGGTCCCCTTTCCTCTCCATCTTGTCTTACTGAATATTCTCACCTAAAACCTCTGCATTTCTGGCATGGAGATACTCTGTTCTTCTTAGCTATGAAAGAGAACGATGACCATTTGATACTGCAGGCCCTGAGGGGATAACTAGGACAGCCTCGGCCAATGTTCTGACAACTGAGTATTGTTAGCTTGGACTCCTCAGTTACTTAGGGAGGACTTTGGAGCTTTGGAATATTCTTCCAATAATTCATGGCTTTTTTTTCTTTTTCTTTTTTTTAGTTTTTTGAGGCAGGGTTTCTCTGTGGCTTTGGAGGCTGTGCTGGAACTAGCTCTTGTAGACCAGGCTGGTCTTGAACTCACAGAGATCCGCCTGCCTCTGCCTCCCGAGTGCTGGGATTAAAGGCGTGCGCCACCAACGCCTTGCCATTCATGGCTATTTAGTCAGCTAACTAACTCTTGTGAGTTATGGCATTTTTCTCATGGCCACTTTCCCCAAGGCAGAAAGCCAGAGAAGAGGTAAGAGCTCCCTACCCCGCCCCCCAAGTCACACCTTTTCATTCATTAACTTCTTTGGGACTGTAACCAAGACCTAAGGTGCACATAGAGGTCAGAAGACAATTCTGTGGAGTCTGTTCTCTCCCTTCATCTTTACAAGTATTCCAGGAACTGTGCTCAGTTGTCAGGCTTGTCAGGGCAACTGCCTTGACCCATACCCACAGAGCCATCTTTCTAGGTTTTTCTAGCCATAGCTCCCCCTTTCTGAATAGCCATTGAAACCTGGTAGTTTGCAAGAACCAAGATGGAGTCAAAAGGAATAGCTCAAAGTTTGGGGTTTCCATCTCGAATTAGTTTGCAGCTGACATCTCTTCCTCTGTCCCCAACAGATGCCCAACAGGGTCCATGGCTTCCAGGAGTTGTAATGGTGAGGATAAACTCAAGGTTTGCTGAGAAAGCACTGTTAGTTGCTCTTTGGGTATATTTCATTTTTTTTTTCACAGTCTCTTTAGACAAATATCCAAGGGATTATCTTGTGTTAATCGACATGGAACAAACAGCCCACTGTGGGTGGCGTCATTCCCTAGCTAGGATCCCAGGCTGCGTACGTGGAGAAAGGAAACTGAGCAGCTGTGTTGAACACTCTGTTTTCTGATTGTAGATGTCATGTGACCAGCTGTCTCGTGCTCCTGAGGCCTTGACTTAATCACTGTGATGCATTACACCCTTCAACTGTGAACAGAAACAAGCTGGGTTCTCCTTTAAGTTGTGTCTGTCAAGATATTTTGCCAAACAACAGAAAAAGAAACTTAAGAAAGCAGTGGTGGCACACGCCTTTAATCCCAGCACTCAGGAGGCAAAGGCAGGCAGATCTCTGTGAGTTTGAGACCAGACTGGTCTACTAGGACTTAAGGCATGCACAGCCCAGCCACAGTAGATGTCTCAGGCATGCATCTATATCAGTCAAGTCTTCTGCTGAATTGAATCTCCAGGTCTAAAAGCCTTGAGTCAGTCAAGCCTGGTTGCTTAGCCCTATAATTCCAGCTACCCAGAAGGCTGAGGCACAAGTTCAAGACTTTCCTGGGCTGTAGAGTGATTTCAGTTAAGTGTAGCTGAAGCACGTTAGTGAGTCCTTGTCCTAAAAAGTTCTGAGAAATGGAGCTGGAGATATTGACTCAGTGGTTAAGAACACTGACTGCTCTTCCAGAGGACCTGGGTATTCCCAGCACCCACATGGCGGCTCACAACTGTCTATAACTCCAGTTCCAGGGGACCTGACACCCATGGTAAATACACCAATAAATAGATAGATAGATAGATAGATAGATAGATAGATAGATAGATAGATAAACAAGTAAATAAATAGCTCTGAGAAGACCTGTGGCTATAGCTGAGTGATGTAGTGTGGTCCTTATTCCTTCCAGGAGCAGCAGAGAAGTTATCGCTTGAGCAGCTCATCTCCGATGCTGGGAGCCCCATTTCTTCATCCTCCTTTCCCTCCCTGCTGCTTGCATTTATTTGGAGCCACTGGGATTGGCTGATTTATTTCTCTCCTCACAGACTCTACACTGTATGTGGGGATAGTTCCCCATTCAAAAGCCCAAAGCAGCATGGTGGTGTGAAAAACATAGTTTTCTCCTACTAGTCCACATTTCCTGAGCCCTTCCCCTTTATGCTGATTAGCCAGTTGCATCAGATTGTGACCTTCAGCTTGCACCAATGGAAAATGAGATGAATTTACCACCTATAGCAGACATAACAGGGGCCATTTGCCTGTGTGTGCTTTCTCGCCCAGTTTGTGTTGTGGTACAACCATTTTGTAAAAAGAAATTGCTTTGCTGAATTACTTCCCCTTTGTGTGTTTCTTCATGGGGTTTCGAGATTGCTCTCTTCCCAACAGTGGCACACGCCTGTGGTTCCAGCACTCAGAAAGGTGAAGACAGGAAAGGCAAGAGTCCCTGAGCTACACAAAACATCCTAAGTAAACCAGAACCAAGCTCATCGGGTGAGGACATGGTATGTGCTGCCAACCCTCATCACCTGAGCTTGATCCTTACATGGCAGAAAGAAGACCAACCCCCCCCCAAGGTGTCCACAGTGTGGGAACACCAGACCTTGAGCAGAGACCCACTTCCCCTTCTGCCTGGGAGTAGGCAGCTGTAAGACAATGTTTAGTAAAAACATGTTTACTAAAAATGATACAATAAGTTCCTGGGAAAGGCCTTCCCACGGAAACTGCCCTGACCTCGACCTTGTCCAGAGACTAACCGCACCTTCAAAAACCCACACACATCCACCTCTGGGGTCAGAGCAGAACCAGCCAGGGGAGAGGAGAGAGCAGAAGCTTCTCTGGTGGGAGCTTTTCTTAGGAGGTTTTCTTGAACCTTTTTGGAGCCTGTTTAAAGTTTTCTTTATATCATTGAACGAGTCTCTGTGTTGTCAATCCCCGACACCCTCCGCACGTTCTTGGACACAGGCCGCGCAGCAGACGTGACAATTGGAGGTCCCACTGAGATCGTGAAAGCGAGGTAAGTGGACGGGGTTAAGAAACTATGGGGAATAGTTCCGGGAAGCTAGAATCATTACAGTATCAACTAAAAAAGTTACTTAAAGAACATGGGACTGCAGTCAAGTCTAAAACCCTAGAAGGCTTTCTAAAATCGATCGAACGAGCCAGTCCATGGTTCATTACTGGGGGAAGCTTAAATATTCCAGATTGGGAGGAGGTTCGCCGTGATCTTCATAGACTTTTACCAAAAGAGGGATCTGAGTCCTTGCCCCCTACGACATTCTCCTTATGGAGATTAGTGAGGGGAGCACTTTTGACAGATAAGGTTCGTCACCGCCAGGTGGTTCAGGACACAAAAGAGGCTTTTTTAGAATTACAAGAGACTGAGACTCAAGCCTCCTTGAGTTCAGGGGCAGAGAGTGATGATGAAGAGACCGTGACTGAAACTAGAGGCTCCATTGTTAGTGAGGATGAGGAGGAGTCTCTTAGTAACAACAAAAAAACGGGTAGACATCTCGGGCGCGACCCAAAAGAAGGACTCCGGTCAGAATCGGTTATATCCTTCTCTATCAGACCTAGAAAATGGAAGTAGCTCAGACTCAGACTCGTCACAGTCTGAAAAGGAACGGTTACTTGCTGAGATCGCGGCCCTTAAAAAGAACTAAAAAAGATTCTAATTAAGGAAAGACAGGACAGGGAGAGAAACCCTTCCCCATACTCTGAAAAAAAGGGACTCCTCCTATGAGATAACCCAGTCCTTCTCAGACCTGGAGGGAAGACCCAGAGGAGGGGTCCAATGCTGCCCGGTGGTGGCCCCAGTAATGGAAGTTCCAGATCCGAACAATTCTGGACAGGTCATTCGGCATTATAACCCTTTAAATTTTAAGGATATAAAACAACTTAAAGAGGCAACTTTAAATTATGGAGCACAGACTCCCTTTACACTTTCCTTAATGGAATCTTTTGCGTCTCTTAATTTGACACCTGGCGATTGGCAGCAGCTTTGCAGAGCAGCTCTGTCGGGGGGAGATTATTTGATTTGGAGAGGTGAGTTTCAGGAAAGATGCAGCCAGACAGCCCAAAGGAATGCACAGGCCGGACAGCCCCAGAGAAATGTGGAGATGCTTACCGGGAGTGGTCAATACGCCACCATTCAGCAACAAATGCAATATGACATCGCAGTCTATGCCCAAGTGGCAGCAGCGGCCCAAGGGGCTTGGAAAGCATTGCCTTCCAAGGAAGGAGGGGATCATCTGTCCAAAGTCCTTCAAGGACCTTCCGAACCTTTTCAAGACTTCGTAGACCGTCTCAGTCAGGTAGCAGAAAGAATATTTGGAGGCATTGGGCCTGCGATGCCAGTCATAAAGCAGATGGCATTTGAAAATACAAATAAATATTGTAAGGAAGCCCTTCGCCCCTATCGCAATAAAAGTCTAAATGACTATATCCGGATCTGTAGGGACATTGATGGGAACTTCATCCAGGGCCAAGTGTTAGCTGCTGCTTTCGGCCCCAAGTGGGGAAAGAAAGACCTACTCTGGGAAGGAGAAAAACATGTTTTAGCTGCGGTAGGGAGGGACACTTCCGTAGAGAGTGCCCTCAAAATAGTACTACGGGTCTCAAGAGACCTGGTTTATGCCCCCGTTGCCGAAGGGGATATCATTGGGCCAAAGACTGCTACTCTAAAACTGACTGGGAGGGAAATTTCCTTTCTGCTAATAATAATCAGGGAAACGGGAGGAGGGCCCCGCCCCAGGGCCCCAAAACCAATGTGTACGGGGCAATGACCCCTGCTCTGGGCAGTGGCAGGACTCATTTTCTCCCCCAGAGCAACCCCTTCATATCTCAGACCTCCTTAGAGCCACCTCGGGGAGTGCAGGATTGGACCTCGCTCCCTCTGCCCGGACAATCCTAACACCAAAAATGGGGATCCAGGCCCTCCCTACTGGGGTGCATGGGCCATTGCCCCCAGGCACAGTCGGACTACTCTTGGGACGGTCCAGTACTATTCTTCGAGGCCAGGCTGGACTGACAGCCTCAAACAATACAGAGAAACCCTGACTCAAAAAAATTTTTTTGGTAACAGTAAAGAGGTGCTGGTATTAAGTAAAAAAAAAAAAAGGACAAAGGTACATGGAATAAAAAAATGTAGTCATCTCTAAAAACTTTTGGCCAAAAGCCTGGCCTCTCCACCTTGCATCTACAGAGTTACAAGGAGTAGGTACAGCTGTACCCCATGACTATAGCTCAAATGGAGGGATGATAAAAAACATACAGGACTTTTTAACCCTTTTAGTTCAAGGATTGGCTGGAGTTGTTCTTTTACATAGATTTCAATTAAGGAAGCTTCATTGCAACAGACTAATCATGACCTAGGGAAAAAGGATGACTAAAAGATACATGTATGTTCTAAATGTATGGTGTGGCCACACCGGTATGTATGAAATATGATTGTAAATGCGTGAGTGTAAACTGCTTATATGATTAAAAGGATACTTAAATCCCTTCAAAAATAGTTAAAAAGCTACCTAGATTGCTTTAAATATAGCCAAAAGGAACATCCAGCCAGTCTGTTAATGTTTTAACAGAAAAATTTAAGATGCAAACGAGGCCTTGTCAGCTAGTGAGAGCTCTACAGGTTAGATTGGGAAAGACTGCTCACAGACTTCAAATAATTTTAAAAACGTATTTGGACACAGTATAGTTTACAATCTTTGAGTGATTTTTCAAAAGTTTTTGGGAAATATTTAATGGATATGTCCTTTTTAATGGGCATCTACAAATAATCTAAGTAGTAATCCCAATTTACCTAGATAGTCAACCAAGGAGGGTAGACAAATCCTTCTACTGTTATGGTCCAGCTTCAACAGTTCAAAAAAAAACTTTTTTTTAGAAAATAAAAAAGGGGGAATAATGTCCCCAGTCCCCACATGACTCATCAAATAATACACTCCTCATTTAAAAATTTTATAATGTGAATGCCAGTGAGCTTCAGACAGATTCTGGCATGATGGAACTTGAGCAACCATTGCTCAGGTCAAATGGAGACATCCATACACTAGACAGTGGAGAAGACCCTAATTTGGGGTCGAGGGCATGTTTGTGTTTTCTTACAGGAAAAGAATAAAGCTTCGGCAACTGTCAGACCATTTAGTGAGATGCATGGAGCAGAGAAAAACTGGACCTGAGACCATGGGAGCCTACCTAAGCCAGTTTGAGTGAGATCTCCTAAATCAGTGTTCCTGATTCTTGATGTCATCGAATCTAGAGCCCAAGAAAGAAAGAAAACAGTCGGTTCGAGATTTCCAGTTTCTCAACAGACCTGCTGCATTAACCTTCCGGACCCGTGAGTTTTCATCCCGAAGCCAACAGAGAACTGGAAAGACTAACTGTCTGCCCTTGACACACCTTGAAACGACAGAATTCATTTTGCCAGTTTTCTCTTTAGGGGAAAAAAGGACCCATTTAAAATATTTGGACATTGGTATGGACTACGAGTGGCAAAAGCCTCTTTTCAGTATTTGAACAGGACATGGTCACTTGAAATATCAGACTTGATGGTTCCTGTTTCTGGAATCACGACTAGGCCAGTGTATTTTTCTGGAGAAATGCAACTTGTCCTAATGCGACAACTATTGTTCATATTTTTCATAATGCTACATGTGTAACATTAATGATTGTACCTAATGTATCTGTGCAAGTGCACTTTCTAAATGCTTTCCTGAGCAGATCTTGAAACGATTGGAAACTTTATCAAATTGTAAATGTAAATCACATGCGGGTTACTCTTGTAACAGAATGTAAATCACGTGCAGGTTACCCTTGTAACAGACGAAGGCTGGTAGAATGTTATGGCCCAGATCTGGTGATGGGTATGGTGATGGAGAGGCGCTATGTCAATGGAGGTCCTGGAAATGGTGGCAGTGGCAGTAGGCATTCTGGCTTTATGCCGAGCTCAAACGTGCCTTGTTCCAGAGGCAAGAGATCCGTAACCAAGTATTGCTTAGCTTAGCCCATGGCAATCCCGATAGCCATGAAGGTTGGTTACAGATGATTTAAGGTTGGGGTATCTCCGATGACGGGCAACCTGTGGGGAAGACCCCTCCCACCTAAAACAGGGGTTCAAGGTCCCCCAAAGACGGGAAAGGGAGGGTGACCCTACTTGACCTAAGCCAGGAGTGCCTCATTTGAAAATAAAAAGGGGTGAATTGTGGGAACACCAGACCTTGAGCAGAGACCCACTTCCCCTTCTGCCTGGGAGTAGGCAGCTGTAAGACAATGTTTAGTAAAAACATGTTTACTAAAAATGATACAATAAGTTCCTGGGAAAGGCCTTC